GGCACTACTTGCACAGAACAACAAAACTCATTTTTTGCATTATTGGGCAGAATTGGCATGACACTCTCACAAACGATTTGACTGCAAGTTTCTAGTCAATGTAGATCTTTTATCAACAAAGACAGTCAAATATAAAATTACATCAAAGAGGACAGTGGACTGTAATTTGGACAACATTATTTTAACTTTTATGAAGACACATTTGGAAACCTGTGGCCAACCACTTTTTTTAAAACAAATGATTAGATGGAAAGGGATCAGAAAAGAATAGTTTCAGGACTCAGCTCAAAGTTAGGAGATGAGACTCACAGAGCTGAAAGTGTATTCATTGTAAAAAAAAAGTTTGAAGGGAGAAGTGTGATCCAACTCTTTAAAATAATTAGTGCATATATAATGTAATGCATTATACTGTATTCCACTTAGACAGTGAAAGAAGAAATTGAGTTAAAATTAAAAAGTGGAACCAGAGATTCAAAGTTGTTTTTCTTCTTACTTTCGTATATTTAAACTTTGGGTAAGTTTACTTACTCCACATGCCTGATAGTAATCCCTCAAGAAAAAAAAACAAGAAAAAATTGGTCACTTCAATCCACGACTGTTTGTTGTACACTGCTGTGCACAATTGGCTGCCGCGTTTCGCTCACAAATATACAGTCAATTCACTTTACAGTCTATTCTGTGAAGCGCTTTGAGACATCTCGAAGACGTGAAAAGCACTATATCAAATACAAGGATTATTATTATATTTAGTTGAGCTCACAATGTGGATGGATTTGTACGGTCGGTTGAAGGAGTGGGCTTGAAGAACCACAAAGGTATTTCCTGTTCCACACTTCCTAATGATTTATTTCTCCTTTAAACTTAATTCAGGTGATCTCATGCAAAAAGCTCAAATTACTGAATAATTGATATTTAACCACAAAGTTAACACTTTTCACCACAAAGCTAAAAGCCATTCAAAGTGGACGGCTTCCTGTGGTGAGTTTTGCCAGTTCCCAGCAATGACAATTATAGGTGCATTAATAAGAGAGAAGAAGTAATTTTGATTAATATGCTTTCCACACCACAATATGGTTTGATGTTGGCTTGACAAGGAGAGCCATTAAGAGCAATCATAGAGAATCAAATAATCTGTATCATCTCGTCCTCATGATCAGAGGTTTAAATGTGGAGACCTCTTGCAGCAGAAGATGAAAAATGAAGAGAAAAGAAATCCATCTATGGAATTACACAAACAAACATTTATAACAAGTCTGGTCCTAAAAGAAGATTCAGGTTCTGCTGAACAAACTGAATAAAGTTCACAGTCACACAATACAATTCATTAAAAGAAATGGGGCCCACTGGCCATTGCAAACTTCTTAATGATACATTTGAATATTAATGTGAAGAGAATTATTAATCTTCTAGGTACAATTACCATCAAACTGCTTCCCTGTGACAAGCAAAAAAGCTTAGTAGAGATTGTGCAATGCCTTTAGTATGCCACAAATTCACGAAATAAAATCAGAAACTCTTGGAATATGCAAAGTACAACAGGTACTTTATATATACAGGTCAATCAACATCTGGAAGGAAGAGATACATTAGAATACATTAGAATATACAGCACAGAAACAGGCCATTCAGCCCAACTGATCTATGCCGGTGTTTATGCTCCACATGAGCCTCCTCCTGCCCTTCCTCAACTAAGCCTTCAAGCATAACCTTCTATTCCTTTCTCCCTCATGTACCTATCGACCTTCCCCTTAAATACATCTATGCAACAACTCCTTGTGGTAGTATATTCCACATTCTCACTACTCTCTATGTGAAAACATTTCTTCTAACTTCCCTATTTGATCTATTTGAGACTATTTTATATTGATGGCCCCTGGTTTTGGTCTCCCCCACAAATGGAAACATCTTCCCTATGTCCACCCTATCAAAACCTTTCATAATTGTAAAGACCTCTATCAGGTCACCCCTTACCCTACTCTTTTCAAGAGAAAAGAGTCCAAGCATGTTCAGCCTTTCCAGATAGTTCCATAGCAGTTTACCATAACTTCCCTGCTTTTCATTTCTATCCCTCTAAAAATGAACCCCAATGTCTGGTTTGCCTTTCTTATGGCTTTATTAAGCTGCGTTGCTACTTTTAGTGAAGTATAGGTTAAATGTTTGGAAGGTTAAGATAGGTTAAATGTTTGGAATATATTGGAATACAAATTTACGAAATAAAATCAGAAACCCTATGAAGGGTTACACCTGAAAAAAACAATTTTGTTTTTCAGATACTAATTGTGCTATGCTGCTTCACTAGCATTTTCAGCTTTTATTTCACATTTTCAGCGTCTGCAGATGTTTTTATCCAAAAATTGATGCCCAACATGAGATGTAATATTTAATATTAGTACTTTGCAATGATATAGTAATTTAACAGTTTGCTGACCAATGAAAAACAATAATAAATACTTCCAAAGAATAGCAACAACATCAAATTGTCTTTATATAGTGCCTTTCA